CCCCACTTTATATGTAGTGATATCCTCCTCGGGGGAAGGGATCACTACTTCTTTATTCTCCCACTTGTCGTCCTTCTTTACTTGTACGAGCTCGTCCTTAGTTATCAAACAGACATATTGAGACATGGCTCGCATCAGCCTGGTGTCGATACAGGTTTCTCGATCTTAAAATCGGATATTATTTCACATGGTGGGGGAATGCACTCCTCAATACAAGGGGGCACTACCGCTTTACTCTTGGTCGGTCGAGAAGATGAAGAAGCTTTTTCTTGGGGAACCGATTTAGAGGTCTTAGCCATTATAATGCATAAATCAAAGAAAATAGAGAATGTTGGTAATAAAGTAAGAGCTAATAGAAGAAAGGGGAGAATTCAGGGAACTTGAAAGAGCTAATAGGACTTTGAGAACAATATGAGAATAAAGTTTGCATGATTGTGAAGTTGATCTATTTATAGAGGCCATTTAAGCGTACTGAGGAAACCAAAAAGCCAACCAACAGTCACCTCCAATTATTGACTTTAGGAATCGCACGAAAAACAACCTTTCAGTCACTTCAGCCACTGACATCACGAGATTGGCATCAGGATCAAGGCATCGAAGATTAACTCGCTTCTTATCGACCTATTTCGAGTTTGAGCAAGCGCTCAGTTGACTACTAAGCCCAAGGGCTACCCGAGTTTGAGAAAATTCTCACTCGGGGACTATAAAAAAGTCTAATGGACAGCTTTATTTCGAGTTCGAGCAAGTGCTCACTCGACTATTAAGCCCAAGGGCTACCCGATTTTGAGAAAATTCTCACTCGGGTATTGTTTACGAAGTCTAAGGGCTAACTTTATTTCAAATTCGAAACCTTGCTCTCACTCAACTCGGACTCAGGAATCCCGATGTCCCGAGCTCGCATCAAATCAATTTAAGCTTAGCTCGAGGATTAACAAAAACCTTAAGGGGTATTATATTGATCGATTAAAAACCTAAGGGTTCATTATGTTCTAAGTCTGGTACTCGGACTAATCACTAAAGTTATGCAATCAAATTTTTCACAAATAAAGACGGAATGGAATTCAACACGAGCCAAAAATGAGACAAAGAGATCCTTTTATATTTCTAAGAGATGGTTACAAAATATATTTACAACATCCTTACACAAGAACAAAAAAGCAAAAAAACAAAAGCCAAAAACCTAATCTAATTTTAGAGCCACGTCCTCGAGAGCGGCATCTTCGGGAACCTCCTTCCCGGGAACCCCATTTTGATCCTTGGAAATGTTTGTATGTTTGAAGAAGTTTAGGGCAGAAAACCCTCGATAAATGTAACTATATTCCAGCAGTGGGTGTTGAGCATTCTGTTAAAATTTTAGGCCATAGTCCGTTAAAAAAGAGCGGCAAAAGAATAAGACCAAAAGGGAAGACAAGAAGATGTAGCTTCACCTTCTATCACAAGAAAAACCAAAAAAGGGTTGCAAGATGCATGAGCAACGATCCAAGAATATTCATTCTTGGGACGTTGTACCGGTGTAGGATGCAAAAGTTAGTAGATGATAGTGTCACCTCACTCCATGGAATGCAAAAGGAATGAAGTGCCACACCAGGTTGAAGTTAAAAAAGATGAGCAACAGGGTGAAGTTCATATATTTTCTGATGTGGGAAGGATTCTGCGCCCTTCTCTCGTTGTTTCGAATCGAAGCTTTTAAAAGGGGAGCCTTGGCGTAACTGGTAAAGTTGTTGCCATGGTCGCAGGTTCGAACCATGGAAATAGATGATTAGAGAAAGAAATAAAGAAGGGAATGAATCGAAGTAAATGAAGATGAAATGAGTACAACTCTTTGTTCAACAGAGTAGCCTCATATTTATAGAAAGGCGACGACGGTTCGGCGGTGCTAGTGGTCGACCAGTGCTGGCGCGCATTTGATGTTTTGGGAAAGCGTGCTGACATAATATTTCCGATCACTTCAAGCACTTACGTCACGGGCATGACGTCATCATAAGAGGCTCGGGAAAATTGAGGTTCAAATTGTTTCTTATCACCTTATTCTAAGAAATGCGGGGACTATCTGTATACGGTCAAAATCATATGCCCCCGATTTATAGGCTCGAGGTTTCGTCCTAGGCCCGAGTCCAGGCGAGGTCGAGTTCGAAACTGGTGGACGAGACTCGAGCTCGAAGACAGAGTGCAATGCCCGGAGATAGGAATTCGAGGAATACCGAGGCCGAGTGTGCTCGACCCCGAAATAGTACCTTTATGGGTTTGTAACAGAATGAACTAGATTCCTGCCACGTCCCCAAGTTCATGGCGCAAATCTCGGAATAAGATTGTATGATTCTGTACTAGGCGGTTAGACAGCTGTACCAAGAATATTCCTTACTGTAAATAGAAATATACCTTACTTAGGGATTCCCCTATTATACAAAGGGGACCCCAATCATTTGTAACATCATCTTATCATTGAGCAAAGAATATACTCTCTACCTTTTCGCCTACTGTTCATCAGCATTGTCGTTTAGCTCTACTGTTCTTACTTTGCTTTTATTACTTAATTATTCTTATTATCCTAAGCCTACCTCGAAGTCACTGCAGCTGAGTAACATTGGTTTGATTCACTTGTCTATTTCATTTCTACTTCTTATTTCTTGATTATTAATTGGTATTGAACTAAATCACATATTTTTAAAACCACAAATCAAATTTAATTGTTACTCGTACTTTCGAGGTAAACACTCACTAATTCCGAATACCAGTTAGTTATTAAAAAGAAAGAAAAAAACATTTTAAGGAATCTACAAATAAACAAAATTTAAATCTTTCTCTTCATGATGGAAATTTGGTATATGCTTTGTTGGCCGTTTCTTGGCCTCCAACTTGGACCAAGAAAATAAATACGACTAGTGTAGTACGTTGGTTGACAGATTGACGAGTTTAATTTGATGACAGTAGAAAACACGTTAAAGAAAAAGGATCATGATTTTAGAAAGAACCACAAAGTATATTAATACCAAAGTTGACTTGGAAAAAAGCCAAACACGATTCGGTCTTCCTAACCCACTAATCAAAGGAAAAAGCCAAAACACTAACTAATATGCTTTCAAATCATAAACAGTATAACATAGTGCCTAGGGTACTATACCTTTTTATTTTTATATTATAATCGTAGTGTTAATTTTACGAAATATTTATTATTTTTTATCAATCATCAATATAAATAACCGATAAATCTGTCTATCATGACTTAGACAAATAAAAAGTGTTATACATTTTCTTTGGGCTAGCATCTTAAAAAGTTATAAAAATTATTTTAAATTCAGGTTAGAACAATATTTGGTTGAAGTTTGGAAAATAAGTATCAGTAGTTAAAGTTGAAAACTAGTATTTGTTAATTGAGTTGTACTTGCATATGTATTTCATTGAGAGAAAAAGGTGAAAAATCTAAGAGCAAAATTCATTATATTTCTTGAAATACTCTTCAAACAAGTTTTTAAAATTTTTACTTGTGTTTTAACTTCAAAGATGTCTAATAAGAGAACGTGTACAGGTTACAATAACAAATTATTTGTGCAGTTTATGATATACTGCAACATTTGTCTTCAAATAATTTCTTAAAATATATCTCTAAATTATTTTTCCTTATTTTTTACATAAAAAGGGGGAACAGACAGGTGGCTATAATTCTTTGTCTCTTTAGAGATAATTGACATAAGAAAAGCTAATGATTGGTCCTTCTTGGTAGCACATTAGCAAACTTTGTTTTTACTATCACCAATTATAATCTTACTCATTTCTTCTACTGACATTATAATGATCCTTCCCTCTTAAATCCATATAATTTTATTAGATAAATTAGAAAATATATTGTGTATAAATCATACTCTAGTTTGTTTAAATAAATGTCACCTAGATTAAATCAACTTTTTGGTTAATTTGAGATTTGAATAATATAATTAGACAAATGTAACTTTTGCAATAATAGCAAATATGAATAAAAAGTAAATTTCTATTTAACATTATGGAACAGCAAAAAAATTATAAACTACTCTTTCTGTCTTATTATTTTCTAACTTATGTCAACCTCATTTAAAAAATTTGAGAAATTCAATTTCTGAGTTATGTTTGAATCTTTGTAATCTTCTTTAGACAGTCAAAGTAACATAGTTTTACTGTAATTAGAATGAAAAGAGTTCAGATGGAACCAAATAAATATTGAAAATATATTTAAAGTCGACTCGCTCCAAATTGAGTCTTGATTATTTTTATTTTTTGCATTTAAGTATTTTGCACTCGAAATTCACTTGTTCAGTTAATTAAAATTCGCATCGAGAAAATATTAAGGTGATAAAGCATTTCATTTCTAAAATTCCTTATGCTCAAAAAGTAAACTCGAGATTTTAATTTAAGGAACGACATTCACCTGTTATTAAAATAATATTTCAAAACATCATCAAAAAAGATGGGGATGAATAGGATCCGTTTATTCCTACTCAAAGTTCTCAGACTCGAACACTAAAAATGGAGAATCTTTTTGGTTTTGGGGGTTGTGGGGTGGGGGTGGGGGGATATAAGTTAGAGTTTTTTTTCCTTTTCCAAATGTATAGTTTTAGCTGACAATTGCACATAATTTTTATGAGAATCTCAAAACTATGCAAAATATATATTTGAAATGGGCTCTATATGCATCTCGACGTTAGATGAAATCGAATTTCAAAATATATTTTAAATTGCATTTTTGAAATACAACAGAAATGGTCCCAAAATAAAATTTGCAAAAAGAAAAGCACAGAAATAATTTGTATTTCTATCATATTAACTATTCCCCGTTTCAATTTATTTGAACTTGTATGAGTGATATTTGTGTGGTTATAAAAAATTTTCATTAAAAATAGAATTAAAAATTCAAGTTAAATTATTTTCAAATTTAAAAAGGGGAGTGACAAAAAAAATAGGTTCGACTTATGAATCGCATCGATTGCGAAGTTATAAATTGGATTTGACAAATTGTTTTATGTGTGACTATTTTGCAATTTATAAACGCAAAGAAAGCTAAGTGGAGAGAAGAAAAGATTCCCTACCGCACCCGCCCCACCCCCGCTCCACCCACCCACCCAGCTTTTCCCCCTTTCGCTGTCATTCCCAAAACCGATCTTTTACTCCCCTCTCTCCTCATTTCTTCCAGTCTTCCTTTCCCTTTTTCTTCTTCATCTGGGTCTACTCCCTACAAATTATCTCACCTCAAAATCTAATATTTCAGCTTTTGTGTAGAAAGAACCATGGCAACTGTTATTGAAACCCAGAGTTTGGGCTTTTTGGTAATTGTACTTGCTCTAGCTGTTAGTGTTAGGGGAAATTCAGAAGGGGATGCTTTGTACGCCCTCCGTCGGAGCTTATCCGACCCGGATAACGTGCTCCAGAGCTGGGATCCGAATCTTGTAAACCCTTGTACTTGGTTTCATGTTACTTGCAACGGCGATAACCACGTCACTCGTGTGTATGTCTCAAAATTTC